TATGTGTCCAACTTATCCCAGTAATATTTTGATCGCTCACAATGCCATACCCTATCCGAAGGGGTCATGATTTGAACAAAATGAAATCTATGTCATGAAGCTGTGTATAAATTTTATCTTTTCTGGTCTATGTAGTGGTTCAGTGGAGGAGTTTTTTTAAATGACCTCTCAAAGAATTTTATTCTTTCTTAATTATCTATTGGAAGAGGGTGTGACCCTTCATTTGAACAATTTAAATTTCCTTTTCCTAAGGTATTCTGTGCTAAATATAGTTAAAATGACCAAGCTAAGAAAAACGTGAGAAGTTTTAAGAAAACAATAACAAGTCAACAACAACAAACAAAACGCAAATCTCAATCAGAATAGCTCACCTAAGCATTTGGCTCAGATAAGCTATAGTAAACATCATGAGTGGGTTTTTTTTTTTAACTTTTTTTTTTATTTTTGTTTGTTTGTTTGTTTGTTTGTTTTTTTTTGTTTGTTTGTTTTGTTTTCTATTTTGTTTTGTTGAAAATTGCCATGTGATATAATTTCCCAATCAGTGATAAAATGAAATTAACAGTAGAAAATTCTCAAGTTCATCAAACAACTTGCTAGAAACATACACTTTTTTAAACTACCGGGTAATATTTTAGATACTTCTATATTTAGAAAAACTGTGAAAAAAGAAAGCTTTCTTCTAAAGAATGGTAAAAGAAAATTATACAGGCAAAAGGGGGATGGCTTTCCAAATCCATGTTTTTCTTTTAAATTCAAGTTTAATATTTTTTTCAAACTCTGCAAATTGTCCTTTTTATATGTTGTAAAAGTCAATATTTGCATAGGCAAGCAATTTTCTTAATGTAAATCCTATTTTGTTCTACATTTTTCATGTAATTCAGCAATTATTCTAAGTAATGTTTAATTAACGTGTAACATTGTTTTGTACTATTACAACACTGTGTATTTTGGACAAGTCTCTCCTGTAACAGTCATACATGTACATATTCATTATTTTTATACTCTATTTGTTCCTATCTTAACTTTAACGTAAAATTTTATCATTATTTGGGAACACCAGTGTAAATTTTCAGGATTAATTAAATTCATTGTTAAACAAAATAAAGAATTTGTTGTAGATACACAGAAAATTCTCTCCTGTTGCACGTTCTGTTCTTTCCTGTTACACTTTTTAACTGAGAGACCAAAAAACCTTTCAAGGTCATATCTTTCTTGAATTGATTTAGTTACTCTATATCTTTATAATATATTAACAGATTTCAGACTGAAATTGATGCAATATTTACTTTCCAAACATTTCTAAACTAGAATTTAGGATTCTGTTACAGGAGAGACTTTCCAAACATTTCTAAACTAGAATTTAGGATTCTGTTACAGGAGAGATATGTCTATTGCAAAGTACTGTCTTTACTATTACGGGCCTGTCTTTCCTGTTACATGCACTATAATTATGAAAAAATGTGGTTTATATATGAATGTAACAAGATTGGATCTAAATGCATGCATAAAATGCCATTTCTTATCAAATGTGTGAATGCTGTTTTTTATACTAACTTTTAGGACTGTAAAATGGTGAAAATATTGACCAAAATGATGTTCGGATTTGAAAATTGTCTCTAAAATCATTATAAAAATATTTTTGCTCCTGTTTCATTGAAAAACTGATTCTTTATTTGCCTAGTATTTTGATTTCTTCTTATCTGAAATCAAATAATTTCCAGGTGGGAGTTTAGTGTTTTTGTGTTCTTCAAATATGTGTTTTATAGTTACTGTATAGTTACTGTAACAATTAAAAAAAAAATTAATTCTAAATGCAAGGATTTTTTGATTTGTCCGATATTTTATTTCTGCGGTTTTTGATAATGACTCAATTACGTATTTAAATAATGGTCTAACAATCACTATACCAGAAACAAAATACTTCAGTGAACATTAGACGTATGTATACACTTACTCAAAAGTTAGGGACCATCACTCTTTTTGTGAAAATTCTTTTAACATTTCATTAACTCAGACCTATTCAAATAAATATTTATATTTTCGGATCAAAATCTAAGTAGATCTATACTTTTCTTAGTCAATGCTTGTTTCGAAATCATCTGATAACTAATCTGTTTTATGCAATTAATAATTTTCCAAAGAAAGGAATACGAGTCAAAAAAGTAGAATTTAAAGTTTCACTTTAATTTGTTGTTGACAGAAGTTGCCAGCAATAAGCATGTTTAATTTTACTGGCATTTAAGAAGACATATATTTTCAACATTTTATAAGCATGGATATTTAATAATGTGTATATCCACCACGACTTTTGTACAGTTCTTTCACACGCCTTCTCATACGGTGAACAAGTCGTCGTAGGCGGTTTTGGGGGAACTGTCTCCATTCCTAAATTACAGCGTCTTTAGATTCCTGTAGTACTACGTTTTCACATCTTGGGGTCTTCTGTTTATTCTTCGACCAAGATAATTCCACACATGTTCAATATCGGATTCATATCTGGGGACATGGCAGGCCAAGGCAAGGTTTCAAGAGCTTCTTGGCGAAGATAGTCTTGAACTATTCAGGCCCGATGAGAACTTGCGTTGTCATCCATTAGTACAGGTCGACTTGCTAATAAATGATCAACGAAATGAGACACAACTAATAGGCTCAGTATGTTGTCCCTGTACTTTTGAGCAGTTAAGGTGCCATCAAGAATGGATAGCTCCAGTTTACATTGCAAAGAGAAGCATCCCCTTGCTGTTACACCGCCTCCACCAAAGGTCTTTGTTCCCGATCGAATTGTTGTTTATATGCAGAATTATGGTGTCTTCATACCCTAACCCTGCAATCTACCGGGTGAAGCAAAAATCAACTTTCATCTGACCAATGTATTCTCTGCCATGACCGAATGTTCCACCCCCTATGCTGTCTTACCGATTGTATTTTTTCTTTTTTGTGTCTCTGGAATAAGAGTGGATGTTTTATTGGCTGACATGATGAATCGTTCTTTGTTTAGACTCCTGTTAACTGTGCTTCTACTGATTCGAGCATAGGTGTTCCACTTGCTTCTCAGCGTGTTTGCAGTGTCAAAAGGATTCCGTTTAGCAAGCCATTTTATAAGTTTATCTTCTCTTTCTGTCGTCTTTCGGGGTCTTCAAGATCTTGTAGCTTCATCCACACACCCCAGTTCTTCTTCAGTGCTGTACCAGACGCAAAATAAAAGCGTAACTTACATTAAAGTAATCACCAACCTTCCCACACTTCAATCCAGTTCTGACCATTCCAATAGCTGCCAACTTTCAGCATCCGATAGTTTCGGACAAGACATGATTGCACAATACTTATAACATTTTTCCCTATCAGTAAAACCCATGCGAACATTGATGTGAATTAATACAACTGAAAACTGCATTGTTCGAACACGCATTGATGGCCTTGACGAAACCAGTTTTACAAGTATTTTAATAGAGATATCCAGGTAACATAAAAACAAATAATAAATAAGCGTTTGATTGACTAGTAAATCTCAATTTATTCAATTAATTTTTTTTTACTTTCAATTGTCATATTAAAGTGAGTGGTCCTTAACTTTTGAGTAAGTGTATATATATTGTGTATGCTGACATGCAAGAAGAATTTCCTTCTAAGGACGGGAAATATAAATACAAAGTCGGATTACCACACAATGTGCCATTTGCAGAATTAAATCAAATTAAAGTTCATATAAAATACAATTAATACTTTTGAAATAACAATACTTACAAAAATAATGTTATTACCTGCTTTGTCAGTTGGGATAAATATAAACTGATTGTATATATAGTATAATAATAATATGTATTTAACAATTTGTTTAATAAAATATAGAATTCATCTTCTTTTGATGTTTTTTCTTTCATAGAAGCACTACATGTATTTTTTAAATTGAAAAGATCCCTCTAGAAAACATATTAATAATTTGTTTTTATCACAAATTTATGACAAATGATCATAAACTGGATTCATTAATACAAATGGACACAAATATTAAAAAATAAAAAGGGATGACACAATATCAAGTAGTCAGAAAAGTGACACAAAACAGTGATAGTAATGAATTTTCATGCATACTTGTGCAAAGTTACAGGACAATACAATTAAGAATTTAAATGAATTCAGAATGGAATTGATCTGTTGATTTAACTGCAGCAGACCTGTTTACTCTTAAGATTTCGCCGTATTTTGTACGGATTTTTAGTCCAAAATACGTCTCACGTTTTGCTTTTATGAAAATACGGAAATCAGAAATAAAGTTGGTTTTCTTCATGATCTGTCTTAGTTTCACGTTTTTTATTGTCTTCAAAAAAGAAATATTTCAAACACAGAAGTGATGTCGGGTTGCCAAAATGCTGCGGTATAATGCCAAATCTAATAAAAAATACTGAGAAAAAACAATATGGGTAAACAGGTCTGCTGCAGAGAAGATGATAACATTCTTAATTTTGTACATTGTGATTAAGTAATTTATTTATAAAAACCTTTATAAAAATAGTCGCAATCTTAGTCAAACTGGGAATTGTAAAGGGTTTTTTTCTGTATATTGCACCTGAATCGTATTCAGGAATTATAGATTACAAAAATGTTGATTGAACTATTCTGAGAATTAGTCTTCATTTTTTTTCCTAGTGTTAATTCATGTTCAAGACTTCATAAGCAAGACAAAATCTTTTTATTAATTCACATGGAGGAAATCCACATTTAATTAATAAACTAGTATATCTTATAAGAAACAGACTTATCTACTTACACTCCATGTACTTATAAACATATGCATGCTGGCATGTTGCTTCGAAAGCTTTATAGTGGAAATTGAATGTAAATACAAATATGTGTTTAGTCGAGAAGTATTTATACAGAAGACTTCATGGAAAGAGATCGGCCCGGCATTGATTGCAGTCCCTAGAACAGCTGTACAAATTATACACTGTGTCCATTATCCATTGAGAAAAGCGACGCGGGACTACACGGATCAACATTGAACTCCAATTGCAAAGGGAACAAGATCGTTAATTGCCCTTTTTCTTAATTGAAAGTCAAAATTATGAATAATCGTGTTCTTTACATTTTACTTTGTAAATGGAGTTTATATGCTGTTCTCAAAACACAAGGTAAAGTGATTTTTTTTTTCAAAACATAAAAATATGTATTGTATTGTACTTAAATATGTTTTTATTATAAAATAAATATACGTAAAAATATAGTTTGTCTGACGATGTTTAATTTCAAAATCCCGAATTTGTCTTCAATTTCACTTAAAGCAATAATTTTCCTCTTAAATATTTTTCATGTTTTTTTTAACTCAACGTTTTACGTCCAAATTTATTCTTCTTTTCTATTTTTGAACATTATCAAATATTGATTTTTATTATTTTAAAGAAAATAATACTAGAATCCCTTTCGGAACAATTTTGGTCAAAGTTAAAAGATGTGAAAATGCATCTTTCATATTTGGAGTTACTAAAATAATTTTAATTTGATAAATATTGATTCTAGGTCCATTTTGATATTTCGCTTAAAAGAAGACCAAGACCTTATACTAATGGTTTTGCCCTGACCTCAGCATTTTTTTTCTTTTGTGTTGTTTTTAAAGGACAGGCGAAATCTTCTTCAAAAATTTCCTTTTTTGTTTTTAGGTTTATTGACTTCATTACTAGTGTTTATGCCTTAGAATCTTAAAGATGTCACATTCTCTTGATATTGTGATAGATTTATTAAACTTTGGCTTCATCAAATCAATAAAGTCGCTGCATTTAGAGTGAAATGTGACATCAATGGAGACAAATTCTTCAGGGTTATATAATTTGGAGATAGATTAAAATAAAAAAAAGGGTCTTTAATGATGTGTTACAGTTCTGGGGCTCAGTAAGTTTTATAGGTCACGAAGGAGGGTGTCACTCTAATAAATCTAAAATTAAAAAAAGTTTTAAAATGCTGCTTTTGGAGTGATTATATCGAATATATCAATAAATAAAATCGATTAAAGGAAGTACCGTAGTACTTATATATGTAAGCAAAGTAAAAGCTTTTCTTAAAAGAGCTAAAATTGATTTGCAATTTATTTTAAAGATGTAGGACTTTAATTGCTTATGAATATTGAATCGTTAAAGTCTAATCAAAAATCACTTTGGTACGCCAATATGACGACAGAAATTTGTAAAAAAGAATTGTTTGACTATTTATTGCGGAAACAATTTGGAAAAAAGGTGTCGAGACCCAAGGTTAACATTTCATTGTCGATTTTCCTGATTATCAAGTTCAATTAAATTTTATGAAAAGCTCCTATTCCGATTGTATTACACTGTGACATAAAGCCTCTTTGGACCATTAGCTCTTCCATATTGCTCCAATTTTATATCCTGTTAATGGTCCTTCTTATGGTCTCCTCTATGCTAAATCGAACATTTCGTGAAACAAAAAGCAACTTTTGACTCTAAATTATTGCGGAATAAAGTAATTGAAAGTCAGCTGGGTTGGTACGAAATTATCAAAATAATACGTTTCAGGGAATAGTTTTTTTTACCATTTATGTTCATGCTTGATTCATCGACATGTAAGCACTGTAATTTTTTTTTATAAAGTACGTGTATATATAACGTGCACTAACACAATTTCTAGTTTCAAACGGATTTAAATGAGTGTAATTTAGTACAGTTAGAATAAACCCTATCACAGTGGAAAGAATATTAAATAAAAGTAGAAGAAAGCTCTCAATTGTACATTTCATTTAAAGTCATCATTTCGCAAGTTCTATGGTCAATACAATGACCCTGTCAGCAAACACAATCTATCATTAAGTCAAATGCTGATGGACGTTTTTCATACCAAATAATTATTCTGCCATTATTTGCAAACTGAATTGTCTACTTATTTTCCGTAATTCCCGATTATGACAAGGAGCACATTGCGGTTGTTACTGGTCGTCAAGGGATGTTCACTCTTCCATGGCATCTGATCCCACCTCTGCTGTTTAAGGGATCCATAATTACTCTGCTCTGATTTATATGGTGTGAAGGGACTTTCATACAAGAGAAGATAACTACATTCTCGGTAGTTTCTTTGCCTTGCAAATCATGAAAATTTAGCCTGATGCCTTTGTAGATATAGATACACCAAGACCAAATTCTGACATGGAGAAAAGAAATAAGAAACATTACAAAATGCTAACATCTATAAAAAAAAGTTGGAGATGAAGATAAAGTACTAAACAAATGCTTTATTCTTCGAAAGGAAACGTTTTTCTCTTTCCACATTTTGTGTTGAGAAAAAGGGACTTCAAAAACTCTGCTGAATGGAATAAAAAGAATTTTTTAGATGTCAGTTTTCTAGTAGAACAAGACATGATATAGGGTCCAAGGATAAATCTATAAAAGTGATTTTGAAAAAAATAAATTAAATTGGAATTAAATTTTAATACAGTCATTTAAATAACTTACTTCTACTTATGAACTTTGAAAAAAAATTGCTAAAAATAAAGTAACTTTTGATGAGTATTATCTAAATACGGTGCCCGAAGATGTGAAAATTATGATAAATAAATATCATTTTTCTATGGAATAAAAATAATTCCGAAATACATACATGTATTTTTAGTTGTTGTGAATATATTTATTATTGTAATGTTTTGATTAATTTATTTAAAATGCTGTTTAAAATAATTGTATTTACCGTTAATATAAGTACATTAAAACCATTGTTTATGAATTCGCAGACCTTTTTAATTATAAATTTTTTTAAAGCAAAAGAATCCCAATGTGTATTTTTATCTTATCATTAATCTGGTGTGGGAATAAATTAATTTAATGCATACACCAGTGGAGTTATAAGTCTAAAAACAAAGGATCTCTCCTATTAGATATTGTTTATTTTCTGCATATCTTAAAACAACATGCTGCAAATCAATATAAATCAATAATTTCATTAAATACAGTGCTTTAAACACACAAGTTATTGATAAAAAAAGTACTGCATTTGTACACTTACTATAATTACAAGCTTAAATCAATCTGAATAAATGTTATGTATATAAAGACCGTCAGTAATGCAACAGCTGTATATGAGAATAACAATTCAAATGTTTCAATAAAAGATATATTGATTTAACTTTATACGTTTAGTTACCTCATCAAGATGAGGTCATCGGAATTGATATCTATCAGCATGTGTACTATGTAATTTGATATCTATTAAATTAAATTTCAATCGAACCACATCACCGCTTGTCACCTCTGAAAGAAAATAAACACGGATAACTATGATGTAGTTCAAAATATTAAGATGAAATATGGAGATATATTAAAGTTTTTTAGTCCATTCAAATAATACAAATCAGAGGCAGAGCAAACACTGACCTATAAAACATCTGAAGGGGATCAGATGTCATGAAGGAGTAAACATCCCAAGAAATGAAGTAAGAGTTAGAAGTTATAATTTTTAATATAGTAAAAATTTAAAAAAAAAACTATGCTTGGTGTATATTAAGTATAGAATCAATTATTTTGATTACAACACCAATAAGATAGAGAGTAAGTCAAATAATATGTTCTTATTTGCTTGGTTCAATTCAATAACCTGCGGCTTCTAGAATCATCCATGAGTTCCTACGGCTGGTTCTTCTTTGGGATATGATCTTAATATCCTCTGTGTACACTCTGAAACTTAACGTTCTACGGGAGTCACACAAGTGCTTTAAGGACAGATGATACAAACAAAAAAATGGATGCCTGGATAGGTATATATATATTTTTTTTTTCGGGGGGGGGGGGGTGTTGCAAATGATGCACATAATAAGTTTCTAAAATATTAAGAAATTGTAAACCTTCTATGATGTTTAAAATTCTACGTTCCTGCAACCATTCTTATTAATCTAGACAAAATAATTTTCACTTTAAATCCCGTTATTGTGAAACTGTGAACAAAATTTAAAAACTTTAAAACTTGTTCAATTTACTCATATAAACATGACTCAAGTTGTCATTTTCAAAATTTTTGACAAAAATTTGTTTGCATCATATGTCCTTAAATTTTGTTTTCCTGCAAAAGATTTTTTGTTTTTGTTTTCGTTTTAAGGTGCTTACCTGTTTCACATAACTTTGTAGCATTGGTCTTTTTCCTTGTTCCTTTAAAAGAAGGAAACGTCTTTCGAATAATGTTTTAGTTTTGGCGGCTTTTTTGTTTGCACGGATAATACAGGTCAAAGCATGTGTTTGTTTCTGAAAAAGCCCCCTTTGAATAAGTACGAAATATCAGAACTTCTGATCAGTACATTAGTGGATGAAGAAAAAGAAGAACTCGATTATTTTGTAAAAGGAAAGCTTAAGAAGATTCACCTGTCCATCTTTCACTGTCGCGTTGATCAGTATGGTTGAATTTCTATTTGATTCTTTGTTGATTCGTCCATTGTCTTTGTTTCGTTTTCAAAACATCCTCTCTTATATACACTTCCTCTGAAGTTCCTTCCACAACTTAATAACATTGAATCTCATGCACCACAACACACCCATCTGTGTCAAAGTTCGTATCGCGTTCAAATGGAATTTATTTAATGTACAATGAATTTTGAATATGATGGCCTATATATATCCCACTTGGCTCCAAAACGGAGCTATGTCTTTTTAGATCCATTTATGAACAAATAGTTCAAAAGAAGATGAAAAATATTAGGTATCACATATTGAAAAGATCTTCATAGGAAAACATTTACTCTGGAGATCTGAGATATTTCATGCAATATTACTTGTATATATAACAGGAGAATGAGAAAAAGCAAATTTTTAGCACTAGTTTACCGAAACACACGAAGTACTCACGATGAACAAATAAAACAAGAAAAGTAGTAATTTTATTTTAATCAAAGTATATAATTATAATTTATCTCTAAGTGATCATTTTACAAATTCATAAAGACTTTATTCAATCTGAATAGCATTTGGACGATCGAATGAACATCTGCCCTTAATGACCTTTTTTAATAAATGACTTTTATTATGTTTAAAAAATGCATTTCTGATATTTTCTTCGGAATTAACAATAAACTTACGACGTATATTCTTTATCGTTCATCTTAAAGTGGTTACTACTTTCTCTTTCTTAAAAATATCTTTTGGCAATTCCTTACAGATATATTGCTTTACGAATTGTTGTATGACAAATGACAGATCTCTTCCAAGATAATAACCCATAACATTTCAAAAGCAATAGTATGCCTCTTTACAAATCTAACCCTTTAAGTATTTTACCAGTCAATCATCTGTTTGGTAATTGTTTCAATATTTCCTGAATGAAAACCCTCCAAGACGGATATAATATTTCAAAATGGAATTTATTGAGTAGAAAGAAATAAAAATTTACACAACTTCTAATTCTTGACAAATCATCATTTTGCGTTTTAAAAAGACAATTCAAGTAAATTTTATCGATTATATCCGAAAACAATATTTGTCAGAAGATTTCTATATTATGTAATCGTCCTTAACAATCACGATTTGAATAAGGCCCATCTCTCTCGACTTAATGCTCTGTAAATATTGAAACAATTAATCCCAGTGGTTAGATTTTTATAACACCACTGTCCTTCACCGTTTTCTTTTGCGGTATTTGCATCATGTGTGTTCATTCTGTGGAATATTTACACAATCTGTCAGTAAAAGAGGAATCAGTTAAAAGACTTTTAGACTTTTTATTCAGATAACAATACCAAAGTACATGTAATATGACGTCAGAAGGATAAAGGACAAGAACAGTTTTTACACTCTATAACCTTATTGGTCAATTTTGTGTTTGCTATCAACTGTATATTAACATTTTGTTGCGGTATTCTAAAGTCTACTTGAATACATGTAAGACATCGGAGAAAAAAAGCTCGAATTAGTGTTTTTCTTTTTTCATTAGTACTAATGCTTATAATTCTAGTTAGATTTCCAATCTTCTTATAATTAAGAATACATGATATGGAAAATAATTTTGTGACTTTAATAGAACGTATTGATACATCTTAAAGACCGTTGTTGCGGTGCCAACTTGTGAAAAAATTGCCAAAACATAATGATAATTTCTATTAAAAGCTTTAATATTCCAATCTTTGAGCCAATATTCTTATTACAAAAAAAATTGTTGAGAATATTGGCTTTAAAACATGCTAGGAAAAAGTACTTAATTATTTTATTGATAACGACCGAAAATTGAAGCCATTTTTGCTCTTACAATGATAAAGGTTGTCATGTATTTCCTTTTTTCCTCTATCACCTCTTAGTACGCTTCGCTTAATTGTGGATCTAAGCTAATGTATTGTGCTGCTGGTAAAGCATGATTTTATGAAATTTAATCCATTTATTTCTAAATACACATGCATATTGTAAATATCAAATTAAATTTAAATTTCACTACTTTTCAGATGTTAAGTTGTCATCGTTTTGAAATAAATTTGTAGGTATCAGACGTGAGGAAACAAATGAGCAAAGATTAGTCAGAGATCTGTTGCTAGGATACGATAGGAGAGTCAGACCAGTGATGCCTGATAACGCGTCACTTCCGTTGAACGTGACATTTGGATTAGCACTTTCACAAGTGATTGATGTGGTAAGTATGAATCAATCCCATGATCCATTTCAAGCTGAGAGCATCAGTTGCAAAAATATCTCTCGATCCATTCATTCAGTTCAAGTATATGTTGCAAAAAGATCTTTTTTGTCTTTTATACTTTACAGTGCCAAAAAGCTCTAAAATACTTCACACATATTACTGAATTCTCTATCCATCTGGATCAAAGTGTCACAGAGGAACTTGTATGTCTAGCAGAGCCCTACTAACATTACCAAGGGATCATGCTAATGCCTATAATCATATTGTCTAGCTATTCCAATCGATCTTTAACGGCGTAGTATTCATTACAAAAAATCAAGTATCCTTACGCAAATAAAAAATGAAATGTTTTGAAAAACTCACTTTTTTTTTTAGTAAATTGTATCTCTATGTATAGTGCATACTTATTTAAGCAATTTTCGGGAAACATCTTTATGTGTTCTGTATTTATTCTTGACCAACCTAAATAGCTACATTGTATACATCAATAAGAATTTTGATTGAATCAGGAAAACTCAATGCATGTTTTGGTTTTAAATTATTTTATATGATATTTCCAGGAAATTTGTATGAGAGATCTGTAGATCCATGTAACAATTTACTTGGACCGGTATTTCTACATATAAACTCTATAAACTATGAAAACGCATAAATGTTTTTTATTTCCGTTTCTAAAAAGTACCAGATAGCACATTAACGTTTAGTGTGCATGTGTGTTTCCTACTACATGTAGTTACGTAGGAGCATAATGGTCTATCGTAACTATCTGGGAATGATTAAAAATTCAGAAAAATTTCTCAATGTACAATTCAATGACAACATCGGTTATACAGATATACATTCTTTGCTTTGCAGCGACTTTACAAATTGAATTTTAATCTTATATTGAAATGACGACCATTACACACCGTTAATAAATACTTGCTATTCCATCACATACTTATTTCAGAATTAGATGCTGTATAAGATTGATTTAAATTGATAGCATTAAGCTTCTTTCCCATTTGCAAGTCATTTAGTTGTGAAGCTATTAGCATACACAATTATACGATGCTTCAAAATCAAAACGGATGATACTGACGCTTGAATTATTTATCGATTCAAGCATTGCCTTCGAAAAGATTTTTTTTTCATTCATAGGATATGATACACAAACGTCGATATCTGCATTGAAAAATCGAGGGGAATGTGTAAGAGATACTCAAAACCCCCAAAACTTGACCAAATTGAAAATCATCGTTTTTCATTAGTACCTCTCCTAGAGTCATCAAAAGGTTGTATCGCTCAATTGGCGTCCTGGTTTGAGCGTTGCTGGTTCGAATCCTACTGCCAAACTTGAAGACACATCCGTGTCCTTTAGATGACGCCGTATAAACTGAGGTCACGTGTCGCAGTAGGGTTTAATCACAAAGGGTGATCAAGGTTTTACATAAGAATGCGATGGAAACCCCTCTTTTGGAGAAGAGAAAAACTGTGATAAGTCATATTTATAAGTAAGCATCTTCTGGAAAGGTAAATAAGGTTTTCTTTAATAATGACTCCCGGATAAGGGTAGGGTCAGAATGAATATTCAAAGAAAGTTTTAAATACTAGTACTTAGCAGAAATATTTACTAGTCATTTAAGGAACAATAAAGACATATTTGGCCATAATAATATGGAAGCATCCTCAAGTAGTGTAGATTCAATTCTTTTCGAATTATAGCCAACCTGGATAGGACATAATCACAATGCAAGATCACCATTCTAACGTTCTTACAGTCAAGGAAATATGGAAGTATCTTCAGTTAGTGTAGATTCCAGCACTAGCTCCAATACTGGTATCCGCTTTCTATAAGCCAAATATGATCAAGTGAGCAATGTGACCCATGGGCTTCTTCATTTTCATCTTTCATTATTCTTTTTCCTTAATACAATAATAAAGTGAGAAAGACTTGACAAAGAGAATGGACTGAGGAAATAGCAAAAGTAAATGAATTTGATCATTTTAAACATATCCTTCATCGAACACAAAGGAATATGGCCATTAAATATTGCACCAAAAACCATGACGATTAATACTAGAATCGTAACTTCTCTGAATGTCATCTACATCAAATCCTTAAATCATTCCAATGCAATCTTTGAAAAAAAATACAGCTATTCTTTTTATTGATATGAAGTTCAAATGAGAGCAAACAAAAGTGCTTCATGTATGAATAGTCAAACAGTAATAATTTAACTGTTAATGAATACATAACAATTGCAGCCAAGTAAAATAGTGCTAATAAATCATCTTATATGCAGTGAAGCGCTATAAATATTTGTGTAACCACGTTGCAACACGAAAATCTCAGCTAGATCATCTTAATTGATTAGAATTTTAATATTATCGTTTGCATTATTTCACAGAATTGTATTAATTGTAGTTTTTACAAGACCAATTGCTATTTATTATCTCTTTTTCCTATTCTCTTTCCATGTTTGATTTAATTTTAGTTTTGTTTCTTTTTGGCATCTGTATTTGAATCTATATATAATTAACAAAAGCAAAGCAAAGTAAATAGCAAGTGATATCAATGGTCCTATGAGAAGCATTTGATCGAATTACTAAATATCTAGCATTTTTTTATTGCGACCGATCACAAATGATTTCCTTTCAGACAAGCAGTTATTGAGGTCTATTTGACAATAATGATGTGACGACTTCTTTCTTTGCTTTACAGATTCTTTAATTATTTTGCATGTTTAAAAAAAGTATATAATAAGCATGACGAGCACAAGATAAATTTAAAAATTCGATTAATTTTTGATTCATATTATTCATGTAATTTTTGGTGCAAAATATTTATTTGTTTTTTTTTTTGTTTGTCTACAAATTATATCATTTTATGCTCAATTAATATTTTCCCTTTTCTTTCAGAAAATTAATGCGTTTGTAATAGTTAAAATTATTTTGTTCGTTAATATTCGGGTATTTGAGCAACAGTTTGTGTTCATAGATATTCATAGAGGTTTCCAGTAACTTCCTGCATAGTTACTAAAATAAAAACAAATGCTCAGCTGAATTGTGTATTATCAAGTCTTGCCTAGCAATTGCATTACGCTACATCCGAAGCGGGTTCTAAGGTCAAAGAGATTGTATTTCACTTCTATTTGCATCAGGAGTAAGATTATATCTTAAAAGCTGCTGAAAGTATAACTCTTTCTGGGAGTTCCATTCATAAAAAATCAAAACATGCATCAAAATATATGTCTTATGGGAGTTTTAGATATACTTTACAAATAACTGGGAGGGATATTCTGGTCTACCCCTGTACAATAAAGCAAAACAAACAAGTTCAAGCAATCAAATAATCACTATTTTCAGTCATAACTGGCAATTTTTTTTTTTCAAAAATACGGATAAACGCAGTTTTTTTTTTTTTTACAAATATGATACTGACTAAAAATACATTAACATATTTGATATCAATTTCATCATGTTCATAATCTTTAAAATGTAATAATGATTATTCTGAATTACAATACGAAAAATACTAAAGAAGGTTCTAGTTTTGTGACCAGAATTAACCTTTGACAGGAATAAAAGTGTCAAAGATGGTGTAACTTTCGCAACCAGTCAAAGTTACGAATATTCACTGTTTCATCGCCGCATGAAATTTCCTTTTAGCAAAACTAAATCAACAATTTTCTCAAAAATACAAAAACATACAAACACATCATCTGAGAAACTATAAAATTAACTATCTTTAGTTTTTTTTCATTATTACTTTTTCTTAACATGTAGCTTCACTTTGCCTTGTTTAAATTAAAAAAAAATTCAAACTGATTAATTCAAGTAGAAGCAAATTAAAAAAAAAAACCTGTAAATAATGAATGCAACGTTTGAAGACAGAGATTCTAGCGCAATAACAATAGCTCCCTTTTTTTTTTAACTTTATAGCTGATTTACTATAGTGTGTATATGCTAGAAATGTTGAAATAAATTTTACATCAAATATCTAGTCTTACTTAGACCGATAATATTTTTTGTTTATGTTTATATCATGAACATACTTCATATTTTGTTACAGAGTTAAAGTAAGTAACGGAACTCCTACGCAAATGTATTGTATTTTCACAATCTTTCTAGATATCATCTGACTCCGAGTGCTCCTAGTGCAAATAGAAATTGCAGATATTTCCTCGCTAAATCATCATTTACAAGAACGCATCACATCTGCATTTTAAAGAGAAATAAAACCAAATGAAAAAAACTCATCAAACATAATTACTGAACATGAAAGAAAAGAAAATTTAGGTCAGTGTGTCAGTGCATACATGAAGACAATTTAACTTTGACTTACAGCATTATTAGAATATTCCTAACATTCTTACGCTAAACGCTGTTTAGGTCCTTATAATAAAATTATTATAAAAGCAAATAAAAACAAATAAGATTTTTTTTTCTTTCAGCAAGAAAGTACTTTTTAGACATATTCCCAGAAGGCTTTGAAATACAGGTTTCATTGCAGGGAATATAACATTAATCTGATAATCAATGCTTGTGGAATTTCTGATGAATTATGACTGCAATATTTCTCTCTAGTGTACATTGAACGGATTTCATCCAATAAATAATACAAGTGTAAATTTAACAAAACCAATTACATGAAATATTTTGTCGAATAATTATTATTCGTTGGAGACCAATGCTCGGGATATATTTGGTAACCTTTACTCGCAAACTACCGTATTAGCAGGAATTTTAACGAGAAATTAGTTTTGGCATTATTAGCGATGCTGCTGAGATCGCCAAAAGTGAATATCACTAAAAACTAATTGTGTTTTATTGTAATACCTTCTTAAGTGTACATTTTATAATTTGTAAAGTTACTTCTCGCTGAAATTTCCACTTGTACGGTATAATTTTGATCAAGCATCAATGCATTGATGTTCTATATAAATGAATGACATAAAGAATCAGGTTCTCAAGAAAATTCAAAGAAGAATTGTCCTTGTTTACGAACATTTACTCACATATTAAAATGATTCAAAAGTATTATAAAATCAGCGGTGACTTCATAGGGAGTTTTCAAGTCCCTTTTTCATATCAATTTATTTCGCTTCCATAAAAGAAATATAAGTTTTTGTTGAGATTAAAACATTGCCATATAATATAAATGTTGATGACATCATTGAGTAATACAGAAATGTATTCCTCAGTGTTCTAAAATTAAACAAAATGTTAATAAAAATAACCTTTATTAAGTATTGATTTTGATATAGGACCTAAATCTATTACTTATGCAAATGATTTCATATTTAAGAACTCTTTCATATAAATAATTAAGCAATCATTTTCATTCTGAATTTACAACCAATTTCCCGATAGACTCGATCGTGACGAAGGGTCTACGGCTGGTGTGACTTGTTGACAGGGAATGGTTACTCCTCCATGGCACCTAATCCCCCTTATGATTTCAGGAGTTTACTCTACTCATATTAGTTTATTGAGCAAGTTCACTGTTTGTTGTATTCACTTTCACAAAGTTACTCACTTAGAATTTTTACTGCAGATATTGAAAAATATTTTGTGATATTTTCAGGATGAGAAAAATCAAATTTTGACGACAAACTGTTGGTTAAATCAGGTAAGTTGATACATCGCATGCAATACTGCTATCATTTTAAAGTATTAAATCCCATTCTACATATGAAGTGCTGAAGTGTTAAGTTGCTAAGCGCCAAATAAAGTAACAAAAAGCAATAACAGGATCCATAAATAATGGTTAGAGATGATTAAATTTTCATCTCCTATGTCGATCCCATAAACCAGTACAGTCTGGATATATATCAAATAGACATGCTTACCAAGTGCTCCAGGTTAACATTTCATTCCACATCAATGTTAACAATTTTAACCGAGATGCCCATTCATATAAATACTTCTTTAATGTAAAAGGTGTGCTGTTAATTCTTGTGCTTTCAATTCTATGAATCATATTACCGGTAAATAAAATGCTTAGGATTGTTGCGACGTCTAAAAATCTAAAGATTGCCTATGATAGGACAGGAAATCTTTGGTAGATAAGTAAATGATTCAAGGAAAACAGTAGGGGGTAGCCATTCAAAGTAATTTTGAATATAATTGCATTCATAAAAAAGTAATATTACACCAAATATCGTCTCACATTTTAATTTTTTCGATGAATGTTTGCTCCTCATATATTTTATTATCTTTTGTATAAGTAGATGTGGACAGACTACGGTTTGAGGTGGAATCCAAAGGACTATGGTGGCATTAAGGTTGTTCGTCTTCCGTATGACTCTATTTGGAGACCGGACATTTTTCTTTATAATAAGTAAGCACTATCTGGGGGAATAATTTGAATATTTCAAAAGCAAGAGCTCTCACAGGTAATTAGAATATGGTTCATGATGATGAACGATGGTATGCAGAATGGCTTTTTAAAATAATACAAGATGTATTTTTACTGAAATAGAAGAGTTCAAACAGTATATTCTTCAATGTTGCATTACTCTGCACTATATGATTTGAATTAAAATCTTTTTTTCAGTGCCGATGTATCAACGTACTTTTCGTCTATAAGTTCAAACGTCATTTTGACGTCACAAGGCAATGTAACATGGCTCTCCATGGTGATATTCAAAAGTTCATGCTCCATAAACGTTCGCTTCTTTCCATTTGATGAGCAGAATTGTTCTATGACTTTTGCCTCGTGGACCTACGATGGGTACCAACTTAATCTGGTTCTCAACACTGACGAGGGAGACTTATCTAATTACAAATCTAACAGTGAATGGCATCTTCACAGACTTTATGTCCAGAAAAATGTTGTATACTACTCCTGCTGTGCCGAGCCTTATCCGGATATAACATTTTACATCCATATCCAAAGAAGACCTCTATTTTATATCTTTAACATGGTTATGCCTTGCGTTATGATTACACTAGTTGCCCTTCTTGGATTCTACATACCATCTGATTCAGGTATACTATACACCTTAACTTTAATGGATACCATGTGATTCATGTATGTCATACTCTTTCATTTTGACATATACCAATTCAGGTATGAAATACTCTTTTTTCTTCAACATTTTCGTCCGATTGGACTTTAAATGGTATCCCGTGTCAAGGATTACAACCCCCTTAGCACGTATAAGATCGTTTTTTTTTCTGGTTTATAATTCGGAAAAGGGTAGGCTCAGTGGGGTTGACTAGAGAAACCAATACAACCTAAGAAAATCCAAACATATGTATATACTTAATTTTTCGCCGAAATATTGCCAACTTAGCATTAAACACTCATCAATAAATGAATCAATATTTACCGTCTGTTTCACGTTGGTCATACTTTTTCACTTTAACAAATGCCATTTAAGGGTACTAAACACAAACAAAAAAGGATGCATGGATTGATATAATTATATATATATATATATATATATATATATATATATATATATATATATATATATATATATATATATATATATATATATATATATATATTTTACTGATTCAGATTTGAAATGACATAAATATTAAATCGCTTTCTTTGTAACATTTATATAAACCACCTGATCCAGGTATGTAATACTCTTATTTTCGGTATACATGTACTTTCTGATACAGTATGTGTATCAGAAAGTATATCGAAAATAAGAGTATTACATACCTGGATCAGGTGGTTAATATAACTACTTGTATTACTTGACTGTATACTTTTGCAGCAAAGTAAATGAGCCAATTATTTTCAATACTGTAGATTTCTTATTTTTCGCGTGTACTTTTTATTCCAATTGGGCTCTTCAATGTCAAATCTAGAGAAAAATAATTCGCAAATGGACGGTTAAACAGGAGATTTTACATAGATTTCATCACAATAAAAAGACGAGTAATTATTTATTTCACGTGTGGTTTTTCTTGCGCAATTACGAGATTCATTCCACGCGTATATTTCGGAATTTACAGTATGTTTTGGTACATCATACCGGTAATTGCTACATAAGGTTGTCTGTAATTATGATGATGCATTTTAACCACCTTCATACCCCATGACGTGTTAATGTTAAAAATGAATGTAAAAAGGAATCATTAAGTCAAATGCTGACTGACATTTTTCATACTAATTGTTATAGGCCATTATTTGCACACTGAATTTTTTTAGTTTTCCCGATTATAACAAGGAACACACGGTGGATGTGACCGATCGCCAGGAGATGCTCACTCCTCCATGGCACGTGCGTTTTGCTACGCTCCCCACATGCAATGAACTTTGATCTTTTACTTTACTGTACCTTCATATTTCATTCATTTGAAAACAGAAATGTAAACTAGAATTTCATTTATCAATAAAGGCATTAAAACAGCAGCCATTAGTACAAAACACAAATCATCTGATTTTCATTTCATACGAACGTTTTGCATGATTGTTAACATCATTATGAATCTGCTTATTGAAGAAACTTACAAAGGCATAGTCGATAATGTTACTAATTTCTTGAGGTTGTAAGAATTGATAACACTTCACATACTAGGTCAGTTATGGCATCAACCAGAATTGGAACTCACCTATTTTGTTTGATAATTGCTATCTAAATGGCTTGGATAAAGAATGGTTATAAATGAACTTCTAGTTCTCTGAAAAGGAAAATAATTGGCCTTAAAGTCGCGTTACATATATACAAGATTGGCAGATATGGTCAAAAGATGAACCCTTTCATTTGCCAAGAATAATTTTATAGAAACATGAAACGGTCTGCTGTAAAAGTTATCTGTCTGCGTGTCAATATAAATGTAGATCATGTGTAAATGAATTGAATATATATTTCTTTTCCCTGTGTTGTTAAGCATTATCGGTTCAGTCTTACAACCTTATCATCAATAAATTAGCTATTACGCCGTGGTATCTAAGCACTATAATGCACAGTAGTAAATATAGATACTTTCCTTTTTATCAAAATGGGTCGGCTATTCTTTATCCTTCTTTCTGTAATTATGTTATTTAATCATATCATTAAATAATTTCGTCTATAAATGTACAAGTATATATTAGGATATTATTTAAAGGTACACGGACAAGGATTTGAAATTAATAAACTTAAATATTTCCATGAAAATCCTTAACGTATTGACATACTGAAAAAAAGGTTAAGACCTTTGTATTATAAAAAAAAAAACCTTGTTTTCAACCTTATCTCGAAAAACAGCGATCTTTTTTTAACTTTTTTGATGACCATATATATAACTGCATCTGGAGGCATTAAAATTTTGAAGGAAAGGTTTGGATATTAAAATATTGATAAAGAAAACTTTAAAAAAAATAAGAAAGTAAAGGAAACCTAAAAAATAACGTAGATCATATAACAGGTGTTTGATTATGTTTTGAAAAAATATTCCACTGTTATTGATTCAAAAGAATATTCAATAGCTAGTCATAAGATGAAAGAAGAAAAGAGAGAATTAATTCAAAAATACAGATACATGTACAGTGGTTATACATGCTTATCTAATTTTTGCAGTCATTTCCTTCAATTTGGAGGCCTTGTATAAACAAATGAGTCAATTCGTAGAGTTTTTTGTTGATTATTAACATGTTTGAAGTAGATAGGATCAGATTTCAATTGCTTACATTAATTTTCATATTCTTTAAGACCATGTATTTGTAAATAACTATAATTTTTTTTATACGATTTTCTCAAAGAGAAAATGTATTTTGCATTTTCTTGTATGAAGAAAGAGGAGAAAATCAATTATCCTTTGTTTGCTGAAAGAATTTATTCAGATTTTTCTTTCATTAAGAACATAATAAAATATGGAGATAGCAAAGAATATTCAAGCTCCATTTAACAATACAAATAAGGTGAAGAGCAAACCTCAAAAACATTATATGTGGGATGAGTTGCCATGAAGTACAAGTATTATGCATACCCTGACAACCGGTCTCACCTGACATACACTGTATGCTCCTTGTTATGATAGGGAAAACGGACAATATCCGTGGGTTAATAATGGCCTGACACTGATAGATACATTTTGTTAAAGTCAAAAAGGTTTTCAAAAGGTTATTGCATCATTTTATTACATAAATAGGGTACTTATAGGATAGAATTACTCTTTAAAACAATTACAGATAATTATATTCGAGGTGAAAGAATATTTGAAAACAAAACATCCAGAAGTACGTTATACGTGTAGTATGTTAAATTCATTTGATTTTTATACTGGTATTCGGAACCTTTCTACGAATTTCTTTTTTTTTTTTAATTCTTTTGTTTATGGAAATAGTCAAAACTTGAATATCGTCACGGTGTAATTTTTTGCCTTTATCTCTACATGTATCTGATTTTCTGTTTATAAAAACGGCTGAGTTTCCTCTTGAATTTCTCTTTGAAACCTAAATAAAGTTCCTATCTCTGGAGGCTATCTGATTAATATCCATCATAGAGGGCTAATATTGGCTTTGTCTGCTGCCCAATCCCATTCACTTTTGTGTATAAAATTTTGTATGAAAAAAAAAATATCCATTACGGAACGCTTGCATGGTTTTTTTCTTGGTATTACATGTACGAGAAGTGACTTTGGTGAGGGAATGTTATGGTGTCGCCTATTGTTGAATATTACATAACTGATTGATTCTAACATCATTCACAAGGGATATAATAAAACCCCTTTTTTGAACAAACGCCTCCTTTTATCAGAAATTAAGTAATGATGAATTTTAAAAATTAAATCAACAGAATATTACTGCAGATGTGCAGCGTAAAAAATGTGTTAGTTATGATAGATCTCAGACAGACATCAAAGTTATGTTAAAGTACAAATGGGTATGTAGACAGATTTCTTCAAAAACAATGCACAATAAACTGTAAGATAGTTGCAAAATATTAAAAATGAGAATTTCCAACAAGGATATGGGTCTGTAACCTGTTTTAAGGACAAATGATACAAACATAAATACGGTGCTTGATTAGGTACATGATTATATTTTTAATATACTTATTTTGATTGTAAATTATTTATTATTCGTATATCATTAATTTCTTAAATATGAAATAAAGGTTGTGACTGTTCCTTCATCAAGGCTCGGCACTAGAAGTGAAAGTTATGGGTCTTTCCGATATGACCTTAAAAACGTAGGTCCCGTGTCACGGTAGGTGTTGGCACGGTAACGAACCCTCACTGCTCAATGGCCCTGAGTGCCGAGTATAAGTCTAAATTTGAAGCCCTTCAACGGCATACGGTGACGTCTCCATATGAGTGAAAAATTCTCGAGAGGGACGTTAAACAATATACAATCAATCTTAAATATGAAAAAAGTATATTGTAAATTTTCGTCGATTAAAAAATTTCACCTTCATGAGCATTTCCTTATTAAATTTTTCGTCATTCAAGATGTAATTATATTGTGACACTTCAAATAAAAAATAATAATTTCAGCGTTAAACAAATCATTTTATTTATATATACATAATTTTAATCGTTATTTTTAAGATTTTTAAATTAAAGTTTGCATCATTTGTCCTTTGGGTACACGAGTTCTTTATCTTATTTCAGGTGAGCAAATGAGTTTAGATTTATTTTAATTTAAGTCTTCTGTATTACAGGTGAAAAAGTAACAATGGGAATCACCACACTCCTGTCTATGACGGTGTTTATGATGTTAGTTGCAGAGAACATGCCTCCAACCTCCAATGTCTTACCTTTAATAGGTTTGTTTGTTCCTTAGTTCGATGTTTTATTGTCCCTCTTACTCTAAAGTATTTTTCACTCATATAGAGACGCCACCACTTGCTGGTGGAGAGTTGCCAATTTAGACCTCGGCACTTAGAGCCTTTGAGCATTAATGTCTTTTGTCTTCTTCATACCATCACCTACTGAGACACGGGCGGTAGGTTTATTCGGTCTCGTGCGAATAACCAGTCTCCACGTCCCACAGTGAGAATCGAACCTGCAACTTAACTTACGAGTATTCAGATAAAACCTAATGAGGCAATTATTAGTATAATATTGTTTAACACACGTTTGAATGTATAAAAAATTCAGTTAAGAAAACCTAACTCTATTCTACCAAATTAAATACTGAGGATTTGGAAACCATGTAAGAGTGACATGTATTTGAAGATCGGCAAAAAGTAACTTGTTTTTAGACATAGTATTAAAACCATCATTCTACTTCCGGTTTAGGCATCTATTATGGAATAACGATAATTATCGTCTCCTTGGCGACAGCAATGACAGTATTTACACTAAACATCCATCATAAAGGTCACAGGGGGCATCCCATATCTCCAGTACTCAAGAAAATTTTCTTTGGAGTGTTCGCCAAGTTGATGTGTGTGAAAATGGACACTTACGGGAAAGGATCTAAAGTCACGGTGAGTTCTACGAAGTATAGGTCAAAAATATGTTTTGTATACTTCAGTATGGTATCAAAAAGTATTCATTATTGTCATTCTAAATTTATTTTAAAGCGGCATGGACACAGTTTCAAATGAATTTCTTTTTTACCAATTTTAATGTTTGCAATTCCTAACTAAGGCAATTCTAATGATCAGCAAAAATTTGAACATCATTTGTTGATTTACAAAGGAGATACAGAACTTAGAATTCTTCATATTGTAAACAAGGCTCGTACCTTGTTTTTGTTTATGTATAGAAAATATCATGTTTATAACAAAACGCGATACAGCACATCACTAGACACTGTCGAATTGTATTTAGAATAAACTTCTTTATTGAAAAAATCTGATTTGAACTAACATACATCAGCATGTTTAACCTATGTAAGCAAAACATAGCACGGGCCTTGTTACATAACAAAGGTTTGATGCTGTAAATCTCTCTTATATCTCGACATCTGGAATTCAAAATTTTGATGATCATAAGAAATACCATAGTTAAGTATTTTTAAACATAAAAAATGGAGTGAAAGTTTTTGGCTGAAACTGTTTCCATGCCTCTTTAATATGTGTATACGTAATAAGTAATCTTACATGGTATATTGCCCAAATGCCTAAAGAACCATAATTTTTATGAGGAACTTGTTGCAGTATCTATACTATAATGATAAATACTTGAAACAAATATTATATTTTCGAGGAACGTATTGTTTTAATTCAAAGAAACATATTTGTAAGTTGTCGTAAGCAATCCTTAGAATTTTGAAAGATAATTTTAAAAGATCATATCATTCAGGGTTTAGTTCCAATATCATAGAATCAAGGCTAGAAACACAAAAGAACTCTGTACGTGTACATTTGTATACATTGTTTAAAGATTTTATTTAATTTCCCCTTCCTACATTTTCCAATCATTAGAGAAAATCAAATTCACATTATTTTAAACTATATATATCAAAGTTTAAAAAGTATAATAAGTTTAATCTCCGTATATATCGTACAAACCAGAACTAAGACATACCTATGCAAAGGTAATCAAAATGATATGATAATTTTTTTTTCCAGTTTACCCCAGATTTTACAACCAACATGACTAATAACTATTCACCAGTATCAAAAATATCTGAAGTAGAGAGGACTAAACTGCTAGAGGTATAAAATAGATTATATATATTTATACATTGTATCTTACATTTAATTCGTAGTCCTCAGATTGAATTATCTTAGAAGACTGATTTGTACAAAAAAGAAAAAAGAAAACTTGTATATTAAATTTTTCATGAGAATTTTTTGCAATTGTCAAGAAGTCTGCTAAAATCGGAAAGTTTTGCCACTTTTTAAAGTTCATTACTGAATTTGCTTATTTGAACCCATGTTTGAAAAAACTTTTACATTGTTATAACACTGAATACAAGTTTTAATTACATGTTTGTCAGCAGTTAATCTGAATTGCCTACATTTCATTTTGGTTATTCAGAGAAAAAAAAACTAAAAAATTGTTTAATTTGTTAATTTTCATTTGTGTGTTGTAGGATGGTGCTCGACCATGTTGTTGTCATAGTGAGAGACAAACGGTGAAGCATAGCTATGAAATGAAACCAGAAAACAACGCCCGTAAAAACCACACGCCCGATCTCCACAATAATCAAACGTTCGCTACTCCGAGCAGTGAGGCGACTAGTACATTAGAACTCAATTTCTCCAAAGTGCTTAGCAAGGTTTGCCATACTATTGACAACAACGAGTCTCGTCAGCGAGAACAGGATGTGCGAGATTCTGTGAGATATGAATGGCAACAGCTTGCTCTTGTTGTGGACCGAATGCTTTTGACGGTGTTTATGCTTGTGACTTTAATTATGACCTCTGCAATCATGATGCAAGGTCCTTTAAATCAGGCATGAATAAGTGATAATTAATTTTTTCTCGGCGCACACTGTGAACTGGATTTCGCCACTGTTCACCAAATGTTTGAAAATATTGAACTCTTTGTACAACCCATGTCATATCGAAAAAATGTTATCCTTTCCTTGTGTATATTGCTGGAGAGAGAAAGTTACATTTTAGAAATAATTGTGCTGAACTGACCACGAAAAATTTAAAGCCAAAAATTAATGGTGCAGAAACTGTTGCTTCTCTGAACAGTGAACTTTTTTGTGATCAAGATTTTGTGTACAAAGTTTGAAAACATTAAACGGAATGATTTATTTGTTCTTAACATTCTCCTTCTAGAATTTTTCACTTATTTCGACGTCACAACTTCCTGGCAAAGGGCTGCAAATTTATACTGTACTCGCCACTTGTGGCTTTTGATCATCCAAGGAACTTTTAGTATGTACACCATAACATATGCTTTTTTCGCTTCCAAACTTATTTGACACTCAAAAGAATCTAAGAACGAGAAAAATGTTTAAACCGAGACAGGCTACTGACAGGCAAGTTGATGACACAGTGATCTCAATAACCTCGTTCATGGTCAGCATATAGGAATTCTATGGCCGTTATAATGACCTTGTTTGCAAACATAACCTATCATCTGTTGTAATTTTGGCTGACTGGTTTCATACCAATTGTTACTATTTGTTGGACTCATGGCGGATGGGACCACTAGACCTAGACTGATTAATCCTTCTAAACATCTGATATTAGTAGTGTTGAACTGTGGTTTGGGGCTTTTTATGCCCTGTTCGCAGATAGTACATTGTTTGTTGATATTTTTAATGATCGATCGGTCACTATATTCGTTAGGTTAACCGTTTTCATTATCTTAAAAATTCACACAACGTCTTTTTAAAAGTGAGCAATTCTCGAATGGGACCTTAAAAAGCATACAGTCTATCAATCAATCATATCTTTTCAATATGCATTTTTGTACTAACTTTATCTTTTCTAAGTGTTACAACCAATGTAGATGTTTCGATATTTTTTTTCAATTAGAAAATTGAAATTTTTTATTTTCTTAATTTTTTTTAAATTATGCATTTTAAACAGAGTAAAATGTCAACTTCCGTAGCTAAATTGTGATTCAATTTGTAGATGATCTAATTCTTTTTTTTCAAATGTTTAATAATAAACAATGTACAAAGAAACAACGTGGATTAACCAGATCACTCTAAATGCAGATGTGTCACAATATTCTATCCATACATTAATTGTTACATGTGCCGGCCTGACATCTGGAAATAATTCATCAGAAATAAATGTTGACATTCATTACAGGAAATTGTTTAGATACACTGCACTTGCACAGATTTAGTTATAATATTTACTATAGAATGTGGTAACATTAAATATTCAATGCAAACACGCATTTTATGGATTATTATAAATTTCCGGCAATCTTGACATAGAGCTGTGATTGTTTTCTATATTCATTATTTGCTCAGCAGATTCATTTGATTTAATCTGTTTCGTATTTGGATGGTTTACTTGAAAAAGACATGAAAGGTAATCTAACAACCAAGCTCTTTGATAAACATGATGACTTTATTTTTTTCTATCTCAACTCCCCTTACCTATTCAGCAATATACATGTACCTTCATCACCTGCATACGGAGTTTATATATCTCAGTTGATTCGATGAGCAAGAGCATGTTCTACGTATGAACAATTTCTAAAACGAGGTAAAATATTGACATACAAGTTGATGAAACAAGAATATCAGCAGTATCGTTTAAAGTCATCATTTCGTAAGTTCTATGGTCGATACAATGACATTGTCAGCAAATACATTAAAATAAATACACAGCAAATTCGTTATCTCTGTATGTTTCATTCCTCAAGCTTGTTTTTTTCTGGAGGTCGTTTGGACTTGACGCTGTGTTTCTTTCATTCCATGATGATGCAGGATTTTCAGATCGCACTATATTATTTTTATCAGTATTTTTTCTATAAATGGAATAGACTATCCAACTTAACGAGGAATGATCAAGAAGTTTGCGAACTTTCACGTATTTACACGACCGGAACTCAAGTAAGAGTAAATTATTTGGCATACATATAATCATTAACTGATATATTAATTACATTGTAGCACGTGTTTAGAAATATTTTGCTCCATGTTTTGACGTCACAATGTGAAAGTGGCTTCATAATGTGGAGCCTGTCTTATAACGAAAGATGATTGACTCCAACGTTGTCAACCTTGAAGAACTGCTGTAAAATTTCTTGGAAAATCCTTTTCAGTAATGACAAGCTTTATGAAGAAACAAGCCTAGGACATGCCAAAAGTTCAATTGGTGATTGAAATGAATGTTTTAATATAAACATTACTGAATTCTTTCCCCAGTAAGTTTCTTTTCAAAAAAGAAAAAGTTCATGTTCTCATGAACTTACGTGGGATAAGTATGACTATTTCCTATATATGTCCTATGTTATGTTTTTTTTATAACTAAAGTAAAATGTATAGTGCAAGCTTTTTTTTTAAATGATCGTTGAATGAGAGAAATATGTGGCAAATCTTCAGAAAATAAATGTAAATATAAGAAATGAATGATTTTTTGAGGATTCAAGAGGAATATGTACTACAACGCTTCACGTTTGAATATTTATCATGAAGCGGTAACTCATTCATGAAATAGACAGGCACGAAGCCTCGTAGTTCAGTCGTGAAGCGTCGAAGTTCATATGTCCTCATGAATTCTTAAGAAAAATTAAATTCATTTCTTAAGTGAAGGAAGGGAGGTAGTTATAAGTTAAAAAAAAGTTACTTTCGTTCTTGGCTTGCCGGTTTTCTTCGTTAAAGACTTGGATGATTCTGTAGTTGAGGATCTGTAATAAAAGATTGTTAAAAGTTGGTTTGATATGATACCTCGATCCATGTAAACATGGTAAATGCTGGGATTCAAAAAATCACTCAAACCTGAGATTTCGCAATTTTTAACGAATGTGCTGTTCCTTTAATAAAGATGAATTGCTTGGTAAAAATATAAGACACGGAAAAATCTATGGGTTGTGAACAGAACGCTTCGGAGAGCCTGGACCACGTGATTTGCGCATTATCATAACAATATCATGCAAGTTATAAAACCGGAGGAACTTGCTTTGATAAACTATAAACACCGAAACCAAGTTTTATCTCTTTCATGAAATACTGTAGACGTACTTTTTTCCACGGGGTCATAATTCCGCGGAATCTCAATTTCTGTTTAATCCGCGGGTAGAAAATTACGCGGATATTCTAGATTGTCACTATATGCCTTACATTTATATTAAGTACACTTGGACAAATTTCCGCGGAAAATTTCTGACCGCGTACATAGCGTAAATTAATACCACGCGGAAAAAAGTACTTCTACAGTACATTCAAGAAGTTTCCGAGCATATTTTGATCACCCATCGTATAAAAAGACAATTATCTAGTAGACCAGGCCAGAATTTTTTTACGTAATGTTTTATTTATGGATTAAATACAGGGGATAGAATACTACAATTAATCGAAAGCTTCAAGATTAATGTGACCTGTGCCCAAAACGCTCAAAGCACCAACACATAGTCTTCCGTAATTAATCATTTTGAATTACTTTTATTAGAATCTAGATGAAAATCGTTCTGGCATTGACAATCTAGGTCTTTTTAAATTAATTACAGTCTGAAAAACTGACTTCAGCACAAAGGTCGAAACTGGTACGATCTATCATTGAGTATGGTCCATGGTTTGATCAGTGAATGAAGAAAATGTCGTTGAGTACCGATAGAGAATTTAGTAGAAAGTTCTGTTGCAGAAAATAAAAGGATTTATAAATACTGAAACTTATTATTTGTATTGCAGATTGAGGTGTTCCCCCGCAATGGGGAATGTTTTATTTTCTTTTTTTATTCGGATAAGGTATGAGACTAAATAAGAAAATAGTGAATCAGACATTGGTTCGGTGAGGTAGAACATACAATGAGTTATCTACTACCAAGCTTTATGATAAACGTGATGACTTGAACATTTCAATCATCAACTCCCCTTAATTATGCAGCAATATACCTTTGTCACCTGCATACGGAGTTTATATATTTCACATTTGATTCAATTTGCAAGAGCACGCTCTACGTACGAACAATTCCTAAAACGAGTTGAATTATTGACAAACAAATTGCTGAATCAAAAATATCAGCAGTCTCGTTTAAATTCATCATGTCGTAAGTTCTTTGGTTGATTCAATGATTTTGTCAGCAAAAAATATTATCATAAGTCAAATACCGACTGATGTTTTTTTATACTTATTGTTAGGCAATTATATACACCGAATTGCAGACGAATGTTTCCTTTATTTCATGACAAGGAGCACACGGCGGGTGTGACCGGTCAACAGAGGATGCTCACTCCTCCATGGCACCTGATCCCATCTCTGATTTTTTAAGGTCTGTTTGCTCTGCTCAAATTTTGTATTGTTTGATGGACTTTTGAGCTAGAATACTGTTCGTTACTTTTTTTATTCTTTCTTTAGAGAGTATGCTAGCATCATATAACATTATAAATTTATAACATATAAATATTCAAAACAATGTATACATGTATCATAAGTGTTTGATCCATACTCACTCCAATTAAGGCATATTTAGCTAATGATTTACATGTATGCTTTAGAACATTCTTGAAATAATATGCCCACTTTGTATACAAGAATAATTTTTTTTATGTGTAGTCACTGATATTTTAGAGGCCTTTATTTTTTCTTGAACATTTTGAGACGAGAACTTTAATGACGTCTGATGATTGCATATTTATCTTCTAAAAAATAAAATTTGTCTTAACGTAGAGGAAATGCACATCAAAGAATCAATTATTAAAAGCTAGCATGTAATTAATTCATGCCATAAAGACGTTATTGCAAACAGAATTTTAAAAAAATAGTTTTTCCACGTTAACCTGGGCCAATAAGATTAAATAAATCGCGTGTTAGAAAAAAAATCATAAATATACATGTATTCTTTTTGCAAATGTTCGAATAAATTTTATGATCACAGCAATAATTGGATCTCATTATGGAATCTGCATCCTTTTTGCTCAACATAACACATCCTTTCGGTTTGAACACTAAAATCAGATTAAAAAATAATTAAGCCAAATGATGCTTCAGCTTTAAATGCATCAAGATCATCTTTGGTATACTTCATTTCTTCAAACAAGCATGCATGTTATGATGCATGTGAACCATGCATAAACTTGGAGGGGCCTTGATTTTAAAAATCTCATCAAGTCATTAATCTAGCTCA